TTTTTTTTTGAGACAGAGTCTCACTGTGTCACCCTTGATAGAGTGTCATGGCGTCACAGCTCACAGCAAGCTCAAATTCTTGGGCTCAAGTGATTCTCTTGCCTCAGCCTCCCAAGTAGCTGGGACTACAGGCACCCACCATAACGCCCAGCTATTTTTGTTACAGTAGTCATTGTTGGTTAGCTGGCCCAGGCCAGGTTTGAACCCGCCACCTTCAGTATATGTGGCTGATGCCATAACCACTGTGCTACAGGCACTGAGCCCAGCTGGTGCTTTTAATTAGGAAAAAAACTTTTTTGTAAATACAAAACATTGTTTAAAAGACATAACCAAAAGCTTGGTCCCCTTAGCTCAGTGGTTAGGGTGCCAGCCACATGCACCAGGGCTGGTGGGTTTAAACCTGGCCAGGGCCTGCTAAACAACAATGACAACAATAACAAAAAAGTAGCCGGGTGTTCTGGCAGGCACCTGTAGTCCCAGCTCTTGGGAGGCTGAGGCAAGAGAATTGCTTAAGCCCAAGAATTTGAGGTTGCTGTGAGCTGTGACGCTACAGCAGTCCACCAGGGGGGACAGTGAGACTCTGTCCAAAAAAAAAAAGATAACCATAGAACGCAGCTTCCTTTTTGTAGATTTCTATATGTTTAAAGTAAAATAACTTGTAGGAGCCACTTGCTGTGTCTTTGTTGTTTCATCTGCCTTTCCCCCCATGAGTCATCCCAGAGATGATTGCCACCCTCTCTGCTCAGCCAGTGGGGCCTCCTCTTTTTTGGCAGACTGTAAGGTCTTCATCTGACAGAGCATGAGGATGCAGTGCTGCATATCCTGAACTGGGTGACCTGATGTAAGCATGAGTCTTTGTGTCCCTTTACAGAAAATGGACTAGCCCCACCAAGAGGGAGGAACCTCTTGCTATAACCTCTTGGTGCTGCTGGCCTCCCCATAGGCAGAGTTGCTATCACACCTGGGACTCCTTGTGGTCTCTGTATTCTTTTTTTTTTTGGTGGGGGGGGGAACAGAGTCTCACTATATTGCCCAGGTTAGAATGCTGTGTGTCAGCCTAGCTCACACCAACTTCAAACTCCTATTTTTGGGGGTTTTTTTGAGACAGAGCCTCAAGTTGTCCCCCTGGGTAGAGTGCCATGGCATCACAGCTCACAGCAACCTCCAACTCCTGGGCTCAAGAGAGTCTCCTGCCT